TTTCCTCAAATCCACAATGCCTTCATAGATTTTGTCCCTTTCCTGAGCCAATGCATCCAATTCCTCCTCCAATAAATTGATATCTTTATTCAAGGCATCACACTCATCATCAATTTGCTTAAGCTTAGCACTAAGAGCTTGTTTCTCCTTCTGAACTCCATCCAGATCAACACCTATAAGCTTGACCTGGCTTTGGATAGACTCTTTTTCACTCATAGATTCCTCAAATTTTGCCCTCTCAGCAGCATTTGCGATAACTTTCTCCCTTGTGCCTTCAAGTTGTTTAATTTCTCTAATAATTTGCTTCTCTTCACTCATAATTATGCTTTCTCCCCAGACTTTTAATATAATCATTGAGCTCAACCTCAGATGGAAAAATAACAGGTCCCCTTTCTCTGTCTCTGCTTCCACCACCTCGCAACTTGCATAAAGCTTGCTGCAAAGGTTCCACCACTTTTCTTTTCTCATCCATCTGTGACCTGTACTGCTGTCTTTCAGCACATTAAGACATCCTTTCATTATTTAGCTCCGACCGAGCTGCCTTTTTGGCTTTTAAAGTATCAATCATCCTGCTTTGTGCTTGGTTCTTCTTTTGAAGTTCTTTCTCAGCAAGATCCATTTTGGCCTTCAGCTGCTGGTCTTCAAATGACCGATGTTTAACAAAATAGAACGAATGGATCTGCTGAGGTTCAGGCCAATCCTCAACAACGGCATCCTTGGGAAGGTTGATTGTAGGAGCACTTTTAACCTCCTCCTTAATTGCCTCCTCTGTTCCATGGGAACCAAATTTTATGGCCTCATTAGGTACAAAACCATTTTCCTTCAAAAAACCGTTGTTGTCACCTCCATTCTCAACTGAGGCACGAGCCAACTTAGTTTCCACATCTGCACACATGATTTCAATGAGATGCTAGTTTCAGAGTTCCTTGAGTGCCTTGGATCCCGTAGAGTTCCACGTGTGGAAACAGTAACATCAGGAAACAGAGAGAGGGAGAGAGAAAAAAGAGGGCCAGACCCCAACAGAACTTAGAAATTAAAAACTTACATATTCAGAAACTACATTAAAACTTTTATTCAATATCAAAAGTTTGAATTTAAATATGATAAAAAAAATTGATATATGAAATTATAAATCAAAAGTGAACTGTGTTGACTAATTGATAGTAAACTGTTACTCTCAATTTGGGACAAAGGTAGTAGACCACTAAAGTGCTTTTCTGTGACTTTGCAGGTGAAGAATCCTCTTGAAGAGGACGATGTGGTTGGAATAACAAACTATATTGACTTTGGCTTTGAGTTGCAGACTAGGTACTTTTGTATAGTGTTAAAGAATCGTTAGTAAATATAATCTGAGTTCTAATTTGTTTCAAATTTTTACTCAAGGTTTGATGATAAAACAACAACAAATAGTATCAAAGATTCTACCTTTCAAGTTGCTGCATCTTGGCAAGCTAATAAAAACCTCTTGCTTAAGGTAACCCATCTCTCTCTGTTCACATTTACTTTTCTTGTTAACGTTTTAATTTGTGGATATAAGATTGACAGTTAACTTTTACAGGGAAAAGCCGGGCCACTTAGATCATCAGCAGCTTTAGCTTTTAAATCATGGTGGAAACCTTCATTCACTTTCAGCATATCAGGTATGTGTAACATGGGATGATGGGAATCAGAGTATCTTCAGTTAGTACAAGTTTTTGTGAGTGCAGATGAGGTCTCCATATTGTTTTTGAGTAAAAAGACAGATTAAAAGAAATGCAGTTTCAAAAGTAAATTAATAATCTGTTTGAATAATTGCTTCTATTGACCGACAGCTAATAGAGATCACATGGAAGGAAAAACATCCTTTGGATTTGGCATTTGTGTGGACAGCATCAGAGAGGGAAGGTTGGTTTAGTTTTTCTGTTTTATCTTCATTGTTTTAATTTTACTCTTTTTCCTTCTCTGTAAGTTTATCCAATTTAGGATATGAAATAGGTTATCTATCAATTCAGGATTTGAAAAATGAGAACTACTCCATAGTAATTTAGGAGCTGAATCATTGAAACTATCTAGGAGCTAGGGCTGACAAAATCATGAATTTCAAGTCATTTTACTTTTATTTATTTATTTTTATATTGATTTTCAATGAATGTTCTCTCACAAATTATATATTTAATTTGATAGTGTCAATCTTTTAGGTCGTAAGTCGGTAGTTTTTATCCTCTAGATCCTGAACTGATAATAAAGTTATGGATTGATAAAAACTTATATGTTACAGTTTCTTACTTTTTCTTCTCTCTACACAGTTATCAGAGGGCTGATCCAAACTTTGTAATGCTGACACCTACTAAGGAGCATCTGGCAGAAGGGATACATTGGAAAAATGGAAAGAGGCCAGTCTTTGAGTCTGATATAAAATCTGGGAATTTTGAAGATATTCCAAGAGAACTGCGTCCCTTGAAAAAAAACTTATAGTTTGATCTATCTATAGTCTATACAATTTTTTACTATATTAGTGGTAGTTCAGTTCAGTGGTAATCTTGCTTTATTTGTTAGAGCGACAATAGTTTTAGTTGATAATAAATGGTTTGAATATGTTTCTAGTCCTTGGCTCCTTGCAAATATAGTACATTTTGTTTTACATCTTTGCAACATTATTATTTTTGTTTTTTTCGACCCTGCAATTGATGTTAGTTTTTCTTCTAGTAGATTTCCTCAATGGCTCAAAATATAACAACTTTCGCTTGACCTCAAAATAATCTCGACCCTGCAAAATATAACAACTTTCGTTTGACCTCAAAATAATCTTGACTAATAGATTTCCTTTAATTATTTGTCATGTTATTTAAAAAGTATTTAATTTTTTTTCAAAGGCTTTTAATATATATTTTGAAATTGTGAATGTTTAGTTTGACAATATTTTAGCTTTCATATTAACCTCAAGAAATTATAAAAAGCCAAATTTAAATATTTCTAGTAAATTTATGCAACTGACAATAATTTGTTTTCTAAGTAGAGTGGTTTTGGAATTCAAGAAGGACTAAAAACAAGGGAAAAATGCTATATAACCTTTAAAAATAGGCCACTTAAAGTTAGTAGCCTCTATTTTAATTAATAAACTAGATAGCACTTTTTTTGTTAATTAATATAACCTTCATCCATCATCATGTATACAAATATAAGCGGCCGTTTTATATAATCAAATAATGGTGCTAACTGCTAAATGAAGGTGTTAACCGCATTCGTTGACTCCCATCGTTCAAGAGAAGCCGACAAAGCAGTCCGACACATATACTTGTATCTGTAATTACATCCATAGTGTGCAGATTGAGATGAAAGAAAGGTTAACTTTTTGATGGGAAAATGGAGAAGTTGGAATTTCTTACTTCACCAAATAATCATTATTGTCTTGAGTTTAATGAAAGTATTCTTCGTAGTTATTAAAACAAGAAGTAGATTAGGAAAATGCCCAAGGACCAAATAGCGCTTGCCTGCTTGCTACATAGAGGCGTGATCCCTCCATACTCAAGGAGTTTGCCGATTTATCGGCAACTGCCATTAGGTTATCTAGCTTATTTTTACTAATCCATAACATTAACTTAACATCACCTATTTAATTGTGTATATATACCCAATTTTCTCTAAAAACAAAATGTGCATATTATAAGGATGAAAAACAAAAAAGAATATTATTTTGCGGATATTTAAAACAAAGTGTGTCATTTGTAGAGACTAAAGACATATTTAAGCTATAGTATATAGAAGACCACCACTTCGTTTCAATGAAGAGGTATCCCTTATTCACAACTCCTCTGTGCTTTATTTGTCGATTTCTGCCTTGAAGAAAAAATCCATCTACCTCCTCAGAATGAAATTACGGTTATTTACTGGAAATAGACCTTCATATTTGTTACGGAATATTAATGAGAAAAGTGTTGATTTAGTACACGAACTTGTATGGAGGGGAGTAAAGAGTACACCATTTATTATTAGAAACTAGGAAGTACATATTTTATTACACCTTAAAACTTGGTTATCGGACTAACGTTTTTGCTGATGTGTACTCACTGAGTCCAAATCACCTATCCTCGTCATAATGTTTACGATGTATAAACCCTACTACGCTTACACAACTACCCTTAGGGGGTGTTTACTTAGGACTTAATGGACTTAATGGAGTTGATGACTTAACCATTCATTCATAAAGTTGTGTTTACTTAGAACTGAATCAAATAGATGACTTATTCGCTCAGTGAAATGTCGACTTATTCGTTCAGCAAGAAAAAGGCACTCTTTCGGCTTCAGACAACACTTCAGACACGGAAGAGACTAATTTCTCTCTTTTAACCCTAGCTGATAGTTTCTTTTCTCCATCTCTGCAAAACGAGTTCTCCATCGATGAATAAAATAGATCTCTGCGAAGTGCGAACTGCCAAGGCCGTTCATCTTCTTAGGAAACATATTCGTAACTTGGAGATGTACACCTTCACTATTGGATATTTCTCTAGAATGTCTAGATTACTTTTGTAATTATTTATTTATTTTTAACTTTCATACATGCTATGCTAAAAACATGATATTTGTCCGTCGTTTATGAACCAAGAGGGATCTCCCAGACAATCCACCTGCTTACCAATTTTACATTACACGGGTTGTATTCAAGTTAAACCATATACAAACACGTCTTCAATTTTATTGGAATGGAAGAAATCATAGACGAACTCCCAAGTTTGTTTAAAAAATATAAGTCTTTGATTTTACATTTTTGCAACTTTTTTAATAATTAATTGTTATTTCTACCTTCAGAAATTATAGAAATTCAATGCCAAATTATCTTGGACAAGGAAAGTCAACAAACAATATACACAGATAAGGGGGTTATTTGGTCATTTGACATGATTCAGACTTTTCATTCAGTACACTTAGTAAACAGTTTCTTATTTCAGTGGCACTTAATCCAGACAGACAGCTTAATTCAGACAGACGTCTTAATTCATTGAGGACTTAATGAAAAAAAAAGTAAACAGCCCCTTATTGTACTCCCGCACTCTGTAAACTATTCCCAAAGGAGAGAGTGGTTGCCGTGTATGTAGAAGACACAAAGAGGAAGATTGGAACTCATTCAAGGACAACAAATTTGAGCTTGAACAGCAATACTCTGATGGAGAATGATGTTTATGAGGTATTTTTAAGGTTTTATGCAAAGTTCTAGCTACGGCTTTATTTATGAGATTAAAATTTCAAATTTTAAACCATAAGGGTTCGATTAGTACAATTAATTGATTCCCAAAATTAAATTAATTTTTGGAGTGTTCGATTTTCTCCCCCCAAACTGTTAACCAGCTATGTTTTTTTTTATTTAAAGAATTGATACATGAATATTGATTCTTACAAGTGTCCATTAGTACAATCCATTACGTTTACTAACCAGAAGGTTCTAAAGTACTCAGGCTATATTCGTGGAAGACAAATCCACTTTAACTACAATCTTGTAATTTTCTTTGAGGCTTGGAGTACCAAGGGTTTGCTAAAGAGGCACTTACGTACCTGGCTCTTTATATACAAGTATAAAGATAAAAAAAAATAGTTTAATTAATTGTTGTGTACTAATGTTTTGATTTGAATAAAATGTATCAGAAGCTCACAAAGTCTCCATATCAATTTCTGTTTTTTTTTCTTGCTGCAAAAAACAGTGCAAATAGAATGTCACACATTGTAAGAGCTGAAAAGTTGAGATACATCTCAGCCCCATCAACACATTCCTACAGTTTGGTTAAAATTCATATCTGCCACTTGTCCAAAGAAAGAAAACATAGTACTCATTATGCTTCTTGTCTGCCTTTCAAAGAAACTTTTTGTGCGGTTAGTCTGCTACGGAGTATAAGGCTATAAAATCATCTCTACTACTCGCTACTAGCAATTACACACATGGCCAAATTGAGTGTGCTAACAATATAGGTCCAACTGCTATACCTCGATTACCAACATATTATATTAATTTATGATTTAAATAAAGTTTGGACTGTCAACAGTTTTCATATTAATTTATTTAAATTACTTGTACTAATGGAAACTTGTTAACAGGTGTGGCGCGATGATATCAGTGAATGGGAGGATCCAATTAGGGAGCCAATGAAGATGCCATTTGTTGTTGATCTAGAATTTGAAGATGATATTCTTCAGGCAGAAGCTGGTCTTTTATTTGAAGATGAAATGAACTCTGAAAATGAATATGACGATGAGGTAATTGAAAACGCTGCTGCAGCAAGACAGAGATTTCACCGTCTATATGACTTCATGGAAGATTTTGCACAAAATACATCTCAGATCATTGATCCTACTCTGTAGTAGTGTAGCTATTATTTTTTGTAATCTACAAATGGTGCTTTTTGTGGATGGTAGAATCAACAAATACTGATGATCCATTTCTTTCATTTTGTTTTGTTATCTGGTCTTGAAGTCTCTTTTTACTGAGATGCACTTATGATCACCTTCAATGCTAATTTGGTCATAATATATAGCTGCAAGGGATTCTATTGAATTATTATACATTCTGTGCAGCACGTTTTGGTTCAAAAGCATGTTATTTGAGTGCATATTACTTCAATTTGTAGGATGTTGAATACTGCAGGCTGCAGCAATCCATTATAGATTTATAGTGTTGGGCTAGTATTGGAAGTCATAATCTTTTAGCTACAAGTGATTTATCAATTTATTTTTTGTTCAAAATCTAAATTGTTTCAATTCTTAAAGATTGTGGCAGTCCCTTGAAGATTGTGGCTGCAGGGGAATATTAAGATTTTCCAATCAATCCTACAAGTGATAATTTAGTTGTGGCTGCATTTCAGGAAAAAATAGCTGAAAAACGATTTACTTGCATCACTACTTGTATTCTTTGTGTTCATTAACTACTGAAAAACTTGTTTTAAAAAAAAAAAAATTAAAAATTAACTACTGATTCACTTACAATTACCATGCACCAGCTAATTTATAAAGTAATGCATAGAACACTTGCTGCTCCACTTTAACAATTACCATACCAGTTGTATTCACTAACTATTACATCAAATCTAAAAAATTGACAAACATATGCCTTAATAAAAAAATCAATTAAAATAATGATTAATTTACATAAAACTGGTTTTTATAAATTTTTTTGAAGACTGGTTTCGTGAAGGACAGGACAAAGGTAAAGCCAGAGTATGCTGAATTTAAGGTCCGAATCAATGGCTTGCCCGAATATCATGCTAGGAAGAAGAAGAATTAGAAGAATAGACTGAGACTTGAGAGAGATGTGTGCAGCCCGTTATACGTAGTACAGTAATTAATTAATACGAAGTACTGATAAATAATAATAACAGCAACAATAACCTTAAGTTACAACTGTTTTTTTTAATGAAGTTACAACTGGGGTTGGGTTATTGTTGTTTCTTTCTTGCGAGAAAGAGGATGAAAGGGCTGTTCGGCAGGGAAATCATCTGCAAATGAGGAGACAACTGCCCTTTCAAGAAACTTCCATCTTTCTCCTGCATCACTCCTCTCTGGGCTTCCAAGGGTGCAGCCCCTTATATGAATGGGATAAGCAGGGGAAAAACTAGGACTCGGGTTAGATATGTAGCTGACCTGGAACTAAAACGGATAGTTTTTGCCACATCAGATGTTTTTAACGTTAATACTCCCTCCGTTTCTAAAAGAACCTCACACTTTCCTTTTTTGGATGTGCCAAAATAAAAGTCACACTTCCCTTATTTCCTTATTTGGCAAAGAAATCTACATCCAAACAGTGCCAAACAGTGCCAAACAGTGTCCAAACAGTGCCAAACAGTGTCTAAACAGTGTTTTCTACAGTAAAGTCAATTAATTTCCTTAATAATCGTGAAGTCAAACCATGACTTTCTTTTAGAAACGGAGGGAGTATAACGGATGTACTATATCCACCCTACACAGCCAAATAGAGGTACTTAGTTTCTAATAATAAATGAACTCTTTACTCCCCTTGATACAAGTTCGTGTACTGAATCGACACTTTACTCGAGTATTAATGTTTTGAAAAATTATTACAATTAGTTTGGCCGTTTATAATTTAAATGCCTTTAGATTGAATTGTGCTCCTCTCCCGTTACTAGACTTCTCTAGTGGGAGAGATACAGAGAGATGTGAAATGGTGGGGTAGAGAAAAATAGAAGATTGAGATTTAATTATTATTTTTAAGGAGAGAGATAGAGTGAAAAAGAAATGGAGAGAGTAAATGGAGAGAAAGAAATAGAGAGGAGAATGACTCTCTTAGATTATTAGAATGATAATCGTCCATACTCCAGTTATTCGCCTGCCCATCGAACCATTTTTGCCACAAGTAACAAAAGTATCTTTAACCTAAGGTGTCGAATAACGTTTGAGCATTTCTCTAGTTAACAATATTAATCATAACCACAATCAAGTACGACACAAAGACAAATGAACACGATATGGAGTTTAAGGAGCCCGGATCTAAACACTACATTCAAGCCCATACCCGACACATGAACAAGCCTATCTATATGACTCACCTATGAAGTCATGAGTATTTTGTTATAACATTAGTCATTCATGTTTTAGTGGAATTTCACTTAAAGAATGAATGGTTAATGTTATGTCAGAGTGCTCATATAACTTGATGGAGTCATATATATAGACCTTTTTATTTATTTTTTACTAAACATGCACCACTTGGAGCAACAATTAAATTAATCTTACTAAGCTACAAGCAGATTAAAAAATCGTACTATTCATGCTTTAACTAGAGAGCAAATATTTCTTTGATGATTTATGTCTCCTTTTAACATGAACTAATTAATAACCATTGAATTGGTTTGAAGGAGAACTAATTAATAACCTCTCACTAATGAATGTTTAGATCAATTTATTCTCGATTAATATTTCGGCAACGTTTATCCCACCATATGGCAAATGCAACTATTCAACATAGTGGTATTTCAAAGTGATTCTGCTTCTATTTTTTTAAGCACAAACCGAATCAGTTTTAGAAGTTGATCTCCCTCAACTTCCAAAAACTGATTGTAGGAGCAAATTAGATCATCAGAATCACTTCTGTACTTTCACTCTAACACTCCAACTTCTGTTTTTACTCCTTTAAGGAGCAGAAACGGTTTTAAGAATTAGATCCAAACAATCCCATACTCATCACCAAAATTTATTATGTATCATCTTGTTATGTAAAAATATAAGCACAAAATTGGCAGAGTTGAAGTTCGCTTGATACATATGGTCGATTTCTACATCATGGTAAATCAATCCAAGTGTTTATCAATTTATCGTATTCTATAATGCTGTGGGCATTTCACATTTGGCTTTGGATCTTTCATAAATATTTATCTTTCATTCAAACTAATCACGTAACTGAGTATGTAACTATGTATTGAAGAGAAATTTCAAAATAAGATGGTTACAATAGTATTTTTTCTTCCTATCTCAAATTTGAAAAATAGTTAGAAATTTGATACCGTCAAAAATTGGAGTAATAACTCTCATTTAATTAAGGAATAAAACATGACAGTCTACCCAATATTACTGTATATTTTGTGGAAAAATGGTTTTACAAATTAATATTATGGTCATTAATATTATTTGTAAAAATCATTTTGAAATGAATGAGAAATTATTCCCCGAAAGATAAGCGTGAAATTATACTTAACACGCACACACTGTCGCCGTTAATCGGTCGGGTTCGGGTCTTTGACGAGTCAACAATCGGGCTTAAGATAGGAAGATTTAATTTTGCTACGTTTTTCGGATAAAACCAAATAAAAGACACAACCATTCGTTTTAAAAGAAAGGTCATGAACTTTCTTTTAAAAGGTGTCTTTTGGGTTAAGAGGCTCCTGGCCAGAGCTCTATAAATACCCGCCTTGTCTTCACTTTTGAAATATCCGAACATTCACCAATAATTCCTCAAAATTCTCTCTTCCTTCGTTGCATCTTTGAGTTCGCCGGAATCCCGTTGGGAGCGAAGAACCGTTCTATCCTGGGAGACGCTTGCTACGTGTGTCGGGGAAAAACGTCTTAAGGAGACAACGCTTTTGTTGGGCTCGGTTGATACAAGTATTTTTCTTTTACTTCTATTTATCTAATTAATGCATGCAGATATACATGAATTGAGTAACAATCTTAAGACGTTTTTTAATCTCTGTGTACAATTTGCTTATTTGTTTCCTACCGTGTGTGTTCATACGATTAAGTTACTTCTCTGTGCGTGTATATGTTACTACCTGCTATATACAATCTGTGCATATATCATTCCTTGATTTATATCTTCCCAATTGGCTGGTATATAGTGCATTTGTGTTTGCATATGTTTTCACGTACGAAGTCCATGTTTTTTTAATTAAACTTTGTCAATGCATGTAGTTTGACTTTGATTGATAGATTATACAACATACCTGACTGTTTTGATTGCTAATCAACATATTTCTTTACAACATAAATTAAGAATCAACGTATCTCATATATACATATATATTTGTCTGTATATACTTTTATTTTTTCAAGTTGTTACAAACGTTCGCCGTTCGCATTTAATAAATAATAATACGTGTATTTTTATGAAAAGTTGTGAAGAGTTTAACTGTCCGCATATAGTTTAACTGTCAAATTTGTGAAGAGTTGTTTCATTTATTCCATTAGTCGCATCCCTCTGCTAATTCATATTACCTGCTCTGCGTTCGATTCTTTTCCGTTTTAAGTATTTTATAATAGCAAGTTTTATAAAATCACAAGTAGTATATGTATACGTATTATTGCATGTGTGTTAGTCTTCATATTCATTAGTTGAACCCCGTAATTTGTGAACATTTGCATGATATTTGCCTTCTGTACATTTTATTTCATTTAACTTCTGTATCACGACTTTGATATTGTTACTTCATAGAATTTGCATACACATTTAATTGTGTATCTTCGTATACTTTGTGTATATATTAAAAAAAATCGTGATTTTCTTTTTGCTACCGTCTGTTTTGTGTAAACAGAATGGGAGATGAATCAAACATTACTTTTCCGAAATCATCCCCGCTCACTACTATCCCGATCAGTTCTTCTCACGGGGAGAAACCTAGCAAATTCAATGGTCATGATTTCAAACGTTGGCAACAGAAAATGCTGTTTTATTTAACAACGTTGAATTTGGCTAAGTGTCTCTCCGAAAGCCAACCTGTTTTAGAGGAAGGCGAGACTGATAAGGACAAAGTAGCCGATGTGGATGCATGGAAGTATTCAGATTTCTTGTGTAGAAATTATGTCCTGAACGGACTCGATGACTCCTTGTACTCAGTGTATGCCGATATAAAAACGGCTAAAGAATTGTGGGAATCGCTTGAGAAAAAATACAAGACCGAGGATGCCGGCAAAAAGAAATTTATTGTCGGGCATTTCTTGGACTTTAAAATGGTTGACCACAAATCGGTTGTTTCTCAAGTTGAAGAATTCCAACTTATTCTTCATGAAATTCATGCTGAGGATATGTCCCTTAGCGAGTCCTTCCAAGTGGCCGTGGTAATTGAAAAGTTGCCTCCCAAATGGAAAGACTTCAAGAATTACTTGAAGCATAAGCGTAAGGAAATATCCCTAGAGGAACTCATTGTTCGTTTAAGGATAGAGGAGGATAACCGCAAATCCGAGCATAAGGCTGGACGATCTAATTCCATGGAAGCTAAAGCAAACACGGTGGAAGCGGGATCCAAGAAAGGGAAGAAGAGAAAGCACAATGACGAAGGAACACGTGGAGGGAAACCTTCGTCAAAGAAGTTCAAAGGAAAGTGCTATAATTGTGGCAAGCCCGGTCACCGTGCTAAGGACTGTCGTGCTCCTAAGAAAAAGAAGACCGGACAAGTCAATATTGTGGACGACCTCTCTGATGACATGGGTGAAATGAACCTATGTGCTGTGATATCTCAATGCAATTTAGTGGGAAACACTAAAGAATGGTGCATTGACACTGGAGCTACCCGACATATATGTGCTAACAAGTGGGTAACTCTTCTACATCCAAAGCAGAAGGTCGCGGCAAAGTTGTCCTCAAAATGACGAGTGGGAAAACTCTAACTTTGAACGATGTGCTACATGTCCCTGACATACGCAAGAATCTGGTTTCGGGCTCCCTCCTTAGCAAAAATGGTTTCAAGCTTGTCTGTGGCTGATAAATTTGTACTTACAAAGAATGATGTGTTTGTAGGGAAGGGATATCTCAATGATGGTCTCTTCAAAATGAATGTACTTACCATTGTACCAAAACTTGTTGATAATAATAAAGTGGGTTCTTCTTACTTGGTTGAGTCTTCTTCTATTTGGCACGCTAGATTAGGACATGTCAATTATGATACTTTGCGTAGATTAATGCATTTAGAATTGCTTCCTAAATGTCATATTGATCCTAATCACAAGTGTGAAATTTGTGTTGAAGCAAAAATGGCTAGAAAACCTTTTCACTCTATTACTAGAGAAACTGAACCACTAGATCTCATACACACAGATCTTTGTGATCTCAAGTATGAAGAAACTAGAGGGGGGAAAATGTATTTCATTACCTTCATTGATGATAGCACAAGATATTGCTATCTGTATTTGCTACATAGCAAAGATGAAGCTGTTAATGCTTTTAAGCATTATAAAGCTGAAGTTGAAAGTCAACTTGGAAGGAAGATTAAAGTGTTAAGGAGTGATAGGGGTGGTGAATATGAATATCCCTTTGAGCCAATCTGCTCGGAAAGTGGAATAATTCATCAAACTACTCCTCCTTATACACCTCAATCTAATGGAATCGCCGAGAGGAAAAATAGAACGTTAAAGGACATGGTCAATGCCATGTTAGTTAGCTCTCGTGCTCCGAATAACTTGTGGGGGGATGCTTTCTTAGCCGCCAACTACATTCTAAATAGAATGCCACACAAGAAAACACACAAGATTCCATATGAGTTATGGAAAGAGAAAAAACCAAGTTTCAATTACTTGAGGGTGTGGGGATGTCTAGCAAAAGTAGCTATTCCTAAACCTAAAAGAACTTAGCTTGGACCAAAGACCATTGATTGTGTCTTTGTTGGATATGCACAAAATAGTAGTGCATATCGTTTCCTTGTCCACAAATCATATAATGAGGACGTAGTGGACAATACTTTTATATATAGAATCTAGAGATGCTACATTCTTTGAGAATGTATTCCCTTTTAAGGGAGATTGTGAAGTTGTCTCCTCTGACATGGATGTTTTCATTCCAACCCATGTTGAAGAAACCAATTCACATAAGAGATCTTTTGATTCTATAAATGATAATAATGAAGTGGCGGAAGAATGTGAAATGGGACGCAACAAAAGGGCTAGAAAATCTAAGAATTTTGGACCCGATTTTGTTGTGTACCTATTAGATAATGAGCCTCAAACTTATAAGGAAGCCATGTCTTCACCAGACGTTGCACAATGGCAAGAGGCTATCAAAAGCGAGATTGATTCCATCATGTCTAACCACGTTTGGAAAGTGGTAGATTTGCCTCCTGGATCTAAACCTCTAGGATGTAAATGGATCTTCAAAAAGAAAAGAAGAACTGATGGAACAATTGAGAAATACAAAGCTCGATTGGTTGCCAAAGGATACAACCAAAAAGGGGAGTTTGATTACTTTGATGTTTATTCACCAGTTACAAGAATAACTTCAATTCGAATGCTATTGGCAATAGCTGCATTGAAGGGTTTGGAAATCCATCAAATGGATGTAAAAACTGCATTCTTGAACGGTGACTTAGAAGAAGAGATTTACATGCAACAACCTGAAGGTTTTATTGTCCCGGGAAAAGAAAGAAAGGTTTGTCGCTTAGTAAAATCTCTTTATGGGTTAAAGCAAGCCCCCAAACAATGGCATGATAAATTTGATAGTGTAATGCTGTCAAATGGATTTAAGATCAATGAGGCCGACAAGTGCGTGTACATGAAAGGCAATCAAATTGACTACGTCATAGTCTGTCTATACGTAGATGATATGCTCATTTTTGGTAATAACAATAATTTGATAAAGGCTACCAAAAGTATGTTGGCCAGGAAATTTGAAATGAAGGATCTCGGTGTTGCTGATGTAATTCTAGGAATTAAAATCATCAGAACACCTGAAGGGTTGATATTATCTCAATCACACTACATTGAGAAAATGCTTGAGAGATTCAAGAAGTATGATATCAAACCCATGAGAACTCCTTTTGATTCCAGTGTTCACCTCAGTAAAAACAGAGGAGATAGTGTATCGCAAGATGACTATCCTCGGGTCATAGGATGTTTGACATATGTCATGAATGGAACACGACCCGATATAGCTCAAGCTGTGAATAAGCTAAGCCGATTTTAAACAAATCCCAGTAGAGAACACTGGAAAGCGCTTATAAGGCTGCTTGGGTATTTGATGTACACCAAAGACTATGGTTTGCATTTTCAAAAATATCCAGCCGTGCTAGAGGGATATACCGATGCAAATTGGATATCCGATTCCAAGGATACAAAATCAACAAGTGGATATGTGTTTACCCTTGGAAGTGGTGCTGTGTCGTGGAAATCTTCCAAACAAACATGTATTGCAAGATCTACCATGGAAGCTGAATTCATTGCCTTAGATAAGGCTGGAGAAAAAGCTGAATGGTTGAGAGAGTTTTTGGAAGATCTTCCTTGTTGGGAAAAGCCTGTCCCTCCAATATCCATTCACTGTGATTGTCAAGCTGCAATTGGAAGGGCAAGGAATGCAGTTTATAATGGTAAGTCTAGACACATCCGTCGTAGACATAATACCGTTAGAAAACTAATTAAAAATGGGATCATCTCTCTTGACTATGTTAAGTCGAAAGAAAATATTGCGGATCCGCTAACCAAACCTCTACCGAGAGAGTTGGTCGAAACGTCAAGGAGAGCAATGGGCCTACGTCCAATGATCCAATAAAAAGTCCATGGGGAAACCCTACCTATTATTGAGAGTGCCTCATAATTAGGTTCAAAGGGAAAACACAACTGTGGACTGGCTCGGACGGTACTAGCCAAGATATAGTACACTCATGTCATGAACACTTAGGGTAAGTTACGCTTTTAATGATCTCTATATCTTGATAAGTTCAAGTAAGGTATGACATGATACCTTCCATAGAGATCACCTATGCTGGTGGAAGAAGGCCGCTTCTATGAGAGTCTATGGCACGAGATAAATTCTCCGGTGCACGATATACTCTCAAAAACACTAGCTGAATCAGGAGGTGTTCAAGGCCGAAACGAACACAAACGTGAGAACCAAAGATGCACTCGGGGCTCTGTGTGTTATTCATTGTCTAGGTTTACACTATGGCTGACGGTTCAAAGCAAAGTGCTACCGATTGTCCAGTAAATCCGATGGATATACACTAAGGTAGTTTCAAAGTTTCACGACTACCTAACCCTATGCAGAGTTCCCATCTTCCCATGTCAAATTCCAATATGTTTCCTGTCTTTAAGCCAATTTCCCATTCATGTGGGGGGATTGTTGGAAAAATGGTTTTACAAATTAATATTATGGTCATTAATATTATTTGTAAAAATCATTTTGAAATGAATGAGAAATTATTCCCCGAAAGATAAGCGTGAAATTATACTTAACACGCATACACTGTCGCCGTTAATCGTTCGGGTCTTTGACGAGTCAACAATCGGGCTTAAGATAGGAAGATTTAATTTTGCTACGTTTTTCGGATAAAACCAAATAAAAGACACAACCATTCGTTTTAAAAGAAAGGTCATGAACTTTCTTTTAAAAGGTGTCTTTTGGGTTAAGAGGCTCCTGGCCAGAGCTCTATAAATACCCGCCTTGTCTTCACTTTTGAAATATCCGAACATTCACTAATAATTCCTCAAAATTATCTCTTCTTTCGTTGCATCTTTGAGTTCGCCGGAATCCCGTTGGGAGCGAAGAACCGTTCTATCCTGGGAGACGCTTGCTACGTGTGTCGGACAAAAACGTCTTAAGGAGACAACGCTTTTGTTGGGCTCGGTTGATACAAGTATTTTTCTTTTACTTTTTTAATCAAATAGTACAATTTTTAGTACTCCGTATTAAACACGTTTCGATAAAAATATTTTTAGAGTAGAAGCAATAAGAGACTCCTCAAATCCTGCCCAAACGGTTGACGCTGGCGAAGAAGCCTACCAGTTCTCGTTTATACGGCAAATACGATCTCCTTTTCGCTCTATCATTGGCCCGCATGTAATACAACTCGTGAGCGGCCATCCACGACGGCGGCATCGCCTTACCTCCGCCTGCAACTTTTCTTTTTGCCTTCGTGTTTCCGGTGACTTTGGATAAAGCTTTTCCTGGTTCCTTTCCCTCAGATTTCCCTCCAACTTTTGAACTGAAAAGTACAAAACCGTCCTTCCTTTCACTGTTACTCCGGCGCAGCAGATTTCGGATCTTCCATCGCCTGAACGGCATCATAGATCCCGTGGAACTGATCTTCCTATAGCCACTGCCCTGCGACGTCGTTGTTTCGTTTAATTTTGATCCCTCCAGCTCATCGCAGGCTTCCGATGATGACGACGACTTCGAATCGCGATGATATTTCTTATCGTCATCTATGGACCACTCGTTCAACGCGATGCAAATCGATTCATCGGCATCTTCGTCCGAATGGCCATGATCTGGAAGAAGCTCACCGTTAATCGGAAAATCGCGGCGGTTGAAAACGGGAAACGCGGGACCGTTGAAGAACTCTTCCGCGGCAGAAAATTCGAACTCGACTCCACTACCGCGCTCATCTTCTTCTTCATCACAACTATTACATCCACGATTACTAATAACTTCTTCGGAGATTTTAGCTGCGATTTCTGGTAATTTATCTGAACAATAGCTGTTGAAACTGGGGCAGGTGTATTCACATTTCTCTATTTTATGCATCTTTGAATCTGCTTTCTGTGTGGCGTTTTTGAGATATTATTAATTCGTTGCGTTTTCTGGTATTTTTGGGAGGGAGTGCGTCCATTTGATGGACAAATTGGCAATATAAATAGGCATTGCACTATTAATTGCAGTAGTTATTATCAGGGCAGCAACGTCCACGTCTAAATGTTATTTTATAGAAAAATAAATAAATAAATAAATAAATTTTACTCTACATCCCACCGTCATTAATACATTTCTAATTTTAACTTTCGTTTTTTTTTCATTTTAGCCGTATGGCTATAAATTTTTCTTGTCTTGTGAGTTCTCTAGTCGTTTCTTTAGTAAAAAATGTTAAGAATCCACTCATGCAACACGAAGAACCATAAAGAACATTTGGTAACTCAGTTCGCCACGAATAATTACGTCTAGGGCGATACCAAGCGAGGAATGTTATTAATATTTTCGGATCAATGAATTACAAGGAAGAGATGTTGTATTTATAGAGAGTAAAACATGACTCCTTTAATTAGGACGCGCGTGGCCGACATCCGTATGGCCCAATCTGTACGGAAACTGTACGGAAAACTTGCTCGTCAAAAACAGACTAAAAAATTGGATCGACAGATAGAACTTGGTTATACAGTCTCTAACACTTTACAAAAATTATTTAGGGGTAATAGAAGTTTTTTTTAATTTGAAACAAGTCGCGTGGCGGCGTAGCATATCCTAAGTATGCCGTGTTTAAACAAGACAACGAACAATACCCCATAGGCCCATATTAAAAATGTTAGAAGTAAAAAGTAATCTAATACGGAGTACTACGTATTAAGCTTGAGGGCAAAGTTGCTTCTTATGTAAATTTTCTAAAATATCAGGCAATATTAATGAATGGGAAAACTGTCAAATAGGTCCTCGAACTTTCAGAAAAAAGTCAATTAAGTTCTTCTATAGGAGAATCTGTCCGGCCGTCGCGATTTGGGGCGGTTCTCGGTGTTTTTTGATGAAATTTTTTGAGCATCTTATTCGCCAAGTCTAGTTTATTCATACCAAATTTCAGCTAAAATTCAACTGGGAAAGCATTCAAATTAATTTTAGAACGCAAAAATGCGCAATTATCTTCAAGAATTAATTTGAATGTGTTCCCAATTGAATTTTTAGCTGAAATTTGGTATGAGTAAACTAGACTTGATGAATAAGATGCTCAAAAATATTCATTAAAAAAATCCATCGGGAACCGCCTCAAATCGCGATGGCCGGACAGAACATCTTATAGAAGACTTAATTGATTTTTTTATGAAAGTTCGAGGACCTATTTGACAGTTTTCCCATTAATGAATTCTAAAGATACTAGCTAGTTAAATAGTTTAGTCTCATGATTAAGGGGGTGTATTACATGTCGTTTGGGCCATTTATACATCGATATTGTTCAGTCCTATTCGGATTGAGGAGACGTGTTAGAGTATTTGTCTCACACCGTAAAGCTATAAAACAATACATCATTGTAAGACTTTAGTTTACTCCATCTATCAAGTTGACCTTTTAAGATACAATAAAACTCCATTTAAAAATATCTGACTAATGTTACCACAATGGAATTTTCTAACCATTTTTTTATCATAAATCTGTCCTTATTAGTTATTACAAGTATAAACTATAACTGGCGTGTAAGATATGATACTTCCTTGTAGAGAGACTCTTGATATGCATATTTTAATGTAATCGATTATTGAATCTCAAAATTTATTATTCTCGTCTCAACCACCCAAGTGAGACACGCCCCTACCCTAGCAATCACTTTTATATGTATAGCACATTTTATGTGGCCTGAGATTGCTGTCAGCTGACACGTATCCTTCTGCCTGTTCTATTTTTTAAGCATTTCGATTCATATAATTGTTTGGTCATTTGAAGAAAAATGACTCATTCATATGAACCATTTATCATATTAAGGATGATGAAAGAAAATGGAAATATTAAACGTGAAGAAAAGACATAGGTTTAAATTTAACGTGAGTTACCAATATTGTGTTATAACATTCGGAAGGAGAATAATTATTGTGTTTAGGAGACCAAATTTACAGAGTTTTCAGAGTATATACGGGAGTATATTATTATATATAACATGATGGGTAATTAGTCGGGGAATATTAAGAGAAAGGTGACAAGTACTATCACGAAAAAGTCAATTAAATTCTCTCAACTTTTAACAAATCAATCAAATTTCTTAACTTTGTGAAAACGTTCAATTGAGTCCACTACTAGATTACCTGCCCTTCAGCAAGTCACTTGCTTACGTGGCACACATGTGATAGCCAAGTCAGCAGTGACTTTGCTAACGTGGTGCACACGTGAAAGCCAAGTTAGCCATTTAATGATGATGTGGTGCACACGTGGACAATCACCCGTGTGCCACATCAACGGGTGACCTGCTGACACGGCAGCTAACCTCCTAATTGATTCAATTGAACGTTTATTAAAGTTCGAGGATTTGATTGATTACTTTTAAATTATGAGGAGCTAATTAACTTTTTTGTGGTAGTACGTTCTACGTTAATCAAATTGAAAGTTTTCCCTAGTATTATTAATAAGGGAATATTAGATGGCCGATCGATGGGTGTATTTGAAAGTGAAATATCTGTTTCTTCTTCTTCTTTCTTTAACTCTGGGGGAGGGGGTTGGGGGCCTTGAATATTCAGAGCTGAAACTCAATCTATTGAGTTTTGAACCCTTACGTGTCTAGCGAGTTTCGAACTCGAGACCTGGCACGATAATCTCACAAACCAGCTGGGCTGAAAGTAAAATACCCGGAGTTCGTATAACATTTGTGAAAATGTTTTAAAGAGTGGCTAGTGGCAACAAACAATGATATGAAAATGATTGTTGGGAGAGATTTAAAGGGTCGGTTTGAAAGTGAAAACACTCTTAAAGGGTTAAAATCCGTAATATATCTTGTTTATTAAACTTTTCATTTAAATTGATTTCAGTTTCATTTAGATTACGGGCTTGTTTGGTACTTTACACGTTAAGTCTTTGCACGCGAAGTGATTGCATGCAAAGTATAGGGAATCAATCATTTTGCATGTAAAAGAGATTATTACATTGTTTGGCTAGATGTGTAATTTATTTTTAAATTGCACACAAAGTCGTTGCAGTGCTTCGTAAAAGGCATGCAAATTAAAGTATTTTACCACCCTTCCCTTACGTAAAATACTTTACATGGTACAGTATGAAATGTTTTAAAAAAGTGTCCTACAATTTACATTAAATAATCAAACCAAACAGTGTAAACATTTTACGTCCTTTCACTTCACATGCAAAGTAATTATTTTACATCCTACCAAACGCCCCCTAAATTAGTTTTAAACAGATAATACAGGTCTCTCATCAGACCGGACTTATTAGATACGTAGTAGTATTATAATAAAACAGAAAAGATCAGGTCCCTCCGGAGGGACGGAAGGGACCGTCCGAACTTTACTGTTTGGGGCGGTTCCCGGTGGAATTTTTTGATGAAATTTTTTGAGCATGTTCCTCATCAAGTCTAGTTTGTCCATACCAAATTTCAGCTCAAAATTCGACCGGGAAGGCAGTCAAATAAATTCTTGAAGCTTACTGCACATTCTGTGCATATATAAAGTGCAGTAAGTTTCAAGAATTTATTTGACTGCCTTCCCGGTCGAATTTTGAGCTGAAATTTGGTATGGACAAACTAGACTTGATGAGGAACATGATCAAAAAATTTCATCAAAAAATTCCACCGGTAACCGCCCCAAACAGTAAAGTTCGGACGGTCCCTCCCGTCTCTCCAGAGGGACCTGAGCAGTCCTCTATAATAAAATACATAATACATCAGATCATGTTAGCAGTTAGCTAGATCAGTAAACAAATCACAATTTTTACCAAAAAAAAGTAAACAAATCACAGTAGATCAGATTTAAATAACTTATAATAGAAATATGGAGTACAATATATAAGTATAGACGACCTCGTTTGTTTATAATGATTTGTACGATAAAATGCGTGGTTGGGGTTCTTCAATTGGAGTCATTTGGAGAGAAAATGGTTCTAGTTGTTGAATTGAACATGATACACAAAAAAATACGTAGTAATATACTCCGCACAAACAATTTTTTTAGTAATATACGAAGTAATATGCAAACACTTTCAACAATTCCTATTTTTATTAAATGTTAATTTTATAAAAACAATACCAAATTTGTTTCTTGTTTAGGATGGCCTTTTTATTCCAATATTACTAAAATAAATGAAAAAGATAAAAAAGTGATTGGTTTTAAATTTTTCTTAAAATGTGACTAAAAGTCATTTACTCCTTATAATTAATCATATATTTATTTTTAAATATTCCTTTATAGCACCTCCAGACCGCCGACCCCAGCACCACCACTTCTGCCACCACCGGCACCGCCGCAGCCGCACCACCGGCACCGCCGCCTCCGCCGGCGGCCAAAGTGACTCCGGCCACAGTGATTGACGTCACAGTGACTGTCACCAAAGTGACTCCTGCCTACCGGCCAAAGTGACTACCACTCAGTGACTCCTATTACGGTCACAGTGACTCCGCAGCCAGTGATTGCCCCACCGTCAGTGACTGCCCCACCGCCCGCCAGTGACTACGCCACCTCCTATTGAAGTGAATGCCAGCGGCAGCAACGCCTCCACCCAAAGTGACTGCCCGCCCGCGCACCGGCCACAATGACCCGGCCCAAAGTGACTGCCCATTCACCCGCTAAAGTGCCTGCACCGCCAGAGACCACTGTTGCCAGGTGTCCCCTCCGGTGGGGGACGCCGCCGTCTGCTGGATGCCGACCGAACTTCATCCAGCCCTGTCATTGCCAAACAATCCCCATACAGCCCCCATCGATGCCCACTAGCCCTCATCGAAGCCCACCACGACCCTTCTGCCCCAGATCTTACCATAGCTACCATCTCCATGGATCTAGATCCGGATCTATCATTGACCACAATCCCGACCGCCAATCTCCAGGATGACGCCGGACAGAAAGAGAAGAAATAGAAGCGGTGTAGGGCGACGGCGATCTGAAGATGGTCAACGAACATCAACCTTGGGACAGAGAGGCGCAGCAACGAGACGAGACAGAGAAGCGGCGTGGCGGAGAAACGG